TGGTGCCAGAGATTTCTTAGGGCTAGAGAGAAGAGCCAGGGTCCTCATTCAAGACATTTCATCCTCACCGGGGAGGGGAAGCCCTTATTTCTGCCAGGAAGAGGTGCTGCCAGGTGAAGAGGAGGGGTTTCCTACTAAGGCCACTCTGTGTATGAATCAAGGTCACGCTTCATGTAGAACTGGCTAACTAACGTCATTGAGAGAAGGGTTAAAGAGCCACTGACATCATCTGCAAAGGGCATTATAATATGGTTAAGCCATGAAAAAGAAAATCTTCAACACTGTGACTTTTAGATTTGTGCAAGGGTGAGCAGTTTGGTGGAGGAGCTATCCCGTGGGGTGCTGGGCCACCATTCAACAAGGGTTTTTAGAGTAAGTACACAGTGATGCTGTGTGAGGTAGAAGATGCAGAAAAGGGAAGGTGGAGTCCCTGCCCTCCCAGAGATCCCTGTTTAGTGAGAACACAGATGAGAATATACGTCTGTATATACAGTCAGCTCTCCCTGTATGCAGGTTCAGCATCTGAGGATGGAATTTTTTTTTTTTTTTAGTGGTTCTAGGGATGGAACCCAGGACGTCCCCACATCCCCCACCACTGTCCTATATCCCCATCCCCAGAAACACCACAAAAATCTCCATCTGGGGCTGGAGTTGTGGTTCAGTGGTAGAGTGCCTGCCTAGCACATGTGAGGCACTGGGTTCCACCCCCAGTGCTACATTAAAATAAAAAATAAATAAATAAGCAAGCAAAATAAAGGTATTGTATCCATCTACAACTAAAAATAGTTATTAAAAAAAAAATCTGGAGACTTCTGCAGTTTCCTTTCCCTACTCTCCCCCCTTGTCATTATTCCCTAAACAATGCAAGTATTAGTTAACAACTATTTACATAGTGTTTACTTATTAAGTATTCAAGATGATTTAAAGGCTAGGAGAGGATGGGATGATGTGCGTAGGTTATGTTAACGATGTGCCATTTTATTTATTCTTAAGGGGTACCAGAGATTGAACTCAGAGGGCACTCACTCAGCCACTGAGCCACATCCCAGCCCTTTTTTATATTTTATTTAGAGACAGAGTCTCACTGAGTTGCTTAGCGCCTCACTGTTGATGATCCTCCTGTCTCAGCCTAGCTGCTGGGATTACAGGTGTGCTCCACAGAGCCTGGCTCTATGCTATGCCATTTTATAAAACAGATATGAGCATCCTTGGGTTTGGGAATCCGCAGGGTTCTGGAATTGCCTCCCCCTCAACCCCCAGGATATCTAGCAAAGCCAGTAATGTGATCAGTGTTAGGAGGGGGAAGGAAAAGAGGCTCTATCTAAGCAGATTCCAGGAGAAGCCATTGGTTTGGAGGGTAGGACAGAGTGGGGGACAGGATTAGCATGTGCAAAGTCCTAAAGGTGGAAAAAGGAGCACATTTAATCCAAATCCATAGCACAGCATGGTCGGGTTTGGAAGGAGCCCTGCTGGGGAGTCAGGGCTCTGCCATCCCTCTCAGGCAGCCTTCCCCCTCAGCCTTCAACTTGGGGACAGCTAACCTGTTAGGGGTAAGCTCCTTGTCAGGGTCATGGAAGCCAGGTGGTCCTCTTCATGTGAATGAAGACAATCCCCAAGCCATTGCATTATCACCACCCCAATTTCACAGACAGGAAACTGAGACTCAGTTTAAGCATTTTTGTTCAAAGTCTGGTAGCTCACTGTTGGGGAATTTAGAATGTTTTCTTTATGCAAATGCTTTTGTTTTAGCAATGCCTCTTACATGGGGGTAATGTACTCAAAGCTTTTTTTAACAGAACTGTCTAAACCTGAGGCATGATTAGTTCTGCTGGACTCCTGGTTCCATTGGTTCATCCTGCAGCACTCGGGGAGCCCAGGAAAGGGCAGTAATTAAAGCCAAAAGGTCCAATGGCTTCTCAAAATTCCCCATGTCTGTTCCGGTTCTCTCTTTGGGGCACCTCCAGATATTATCTTCTGCCAAATAGAGAGTTCGCTTCTCAGAAGTCTCAAGATGTGGGCGGTTAAAAAAATCAGCAGCATCAACAACGACCAAAACCCCTGAGCAGCTCCAACACAAAGGGCTTGAATTTTGAACAAAGGGCAGGGTGAGACCCGAAAGTAGATGCTGACACATCCTCTCTCCAGCTGTGAGCTGGGGGTCTGAGGGCTGCTGCAAAGGTCATCTGTCTCTACATCTTTGGGCAGGAAATGCAATTCAATCCTCTCAGTGACTGATCACTTTGCAAGATTAATGGAATCGTCTCCAACCTAGGTCTCTGTTCTGACAGCACAAAAGGTGCATCAAACTTCTCTCCTCCCACTGGGCAAGGTCAGCTCATTTCCCCATTTGAAAAGTTCAAAACTTTTTTTTCTCCAGAAAATTTGTCCCTGAGTATTTCTTTGCTAGGTAAAGTCTGCCTTCTGAGGTTAGATCCAAACTTGGCACTTGAGGATCTGAGGACTCTTCTAGACTTTTCTTCTGTCCCTGCTTCATCTTTGAAATTAAAATGAATGCAGAGGGCAAGCTCCACCCTGAAAGGGTTAACTGCCAGCCCTCTGGTCCATCTCTCCGGGATTGTCAGCCAATGACAGTTGAGCACGATGAAGTAATGCCTGGATTTTTATTTCCATTGGCTCACGCACTTGTTCATCAATCCAAAGATGTAAGTTTATAAAAGAATCTTTGAACTTTTATGACTCGCTTCCTGGCATTAACCCTTTAATTAACTCACCTGTTATTTCCAAGGTTCTTTCCAATCCTCACATAGGAAGAGAGAGAATATGAAATGCTGAATTATAAATAGAAAATCAAACTTCCCAAAATAGTTAAGGCCTGAAGATTGGTCTCTGCATATAATTATTTTCTTTTCTTTTTCACTCTTTTTTTTTTTAACTTGTAGATGGACACAGTACCTTTATTTATTTATTTTTATGTGGTGCTGAGGATGGAACCCAGTGCCTCACACATGCTAGGCAAGTGCTCTACCACTGAACCACAATCCCAGCCCCTAATTTGTTCTTTCTTACTTTTCCACTTTAATACAAAAGGAACAAATTAAAAAGAAAAAAAAAAAAAAAAGAAAGCAACCAACCCAACAACAAACAAAAAAGTTCTTTGAGAACAATCACTTTAACAGAAATTTTAACAGAAATGTCACCATCTGTTGTCTCCCTAGGATAAAGTTAATAAAAGTCTTATAAAATGGGACAAAACTCTTTTAAGATTTGGCAATGCTTTTTATTTTCTACATCTTTTTTCTTTTTATTGAGATGCTGGGATTGAACCCAGGGCCTTATGCATTCTAGGCAAGTGCTTTACCTCTAAGCTATTCCTAGAATTCATTTTTGAGTAGGCAACACTAAAATATATATATATATATATATATATATATATATATATATATATATATGAAATTTAAAAGGCACTACAACACATAAAGTGAAATTAACTCAAGCAGGTGTGATGGCGTACCCTATAATTTGAGGGAGCCAAGGCAGAAGAATTGAAAATTCCAAGCCTGGGTAATTTAGCTAGACCTTCAGCAACTGAGAGACCTTGTCTCAAAATAAAAAATAAAAGGGGGGGGGGGAGTGCTGGGGTTGTGGCTCAGTGGTGGAGCGCTTGCCTAGAACATGTGAGGCACTGGATTTGATCCTCACCACCACATAAAAATGAATAAATAAAGGTACTGTGTTTATCTACAACTAAAATAAATAAAAGGGACTGGGTYGGGGTTTAGCTTAGTGGCAGAATGCCCTTGGGTGATTCATTCCCCATTAAACTGCCCCCCACAAAGAAAAAAAAAAAGTAGTGAAAGGGCTGGGCAAGGTGGCATACACCTGCATCTCGGGACCCTGACGCAGAGAAGTATCTCAAGTTCCAGATCAGCCTCGGCAACTTATCCAAACCCTGTCTCAAAGATAAAAAAAAAAAAAAAGAAAATGGAGGTAGTTCAGTGGTAGGGTGCCCCTGGCTTCAATCCCCAGTACTGGTGAAAAAAATAACACTTGAATTTGTATGGTTCAAAATCAGGCAACAGCCATATATACATGTGGTAAAATCTGACATTCTACTAAAGAATAGTTCCTTTTAATTTTTCTCCAGTTCTACTGGCACTCCCCAACCTTTTTTTGGTCTTTCCAAAGGAAATTCTACACATATAATAGTTATCTTGCTGATTATTATTATTGTTATTTTAGTGATGGGAATAGAGCCCTGGGCACACTAGGTATGTGCTCTACTACTGAGCTACATTCCAAGCCCTACCTTCTTTTTTTTTTTTGAGATGGAGTCTCACTAAGTTATAGAGGCTGGCCTAGAATGTGTGATCCCCCTGCCTCAGCCTCTGAGCAGCTGGGATTACAAGTGTGTCACCAGGCCTGGTCTGTCCCTGGAATGTATGTCTGGAAGTGGCTACCCAGGTCTTAGAATTCCTGCTTCATCACCAATTATTTGTCCCTGAGAGTTGGCCAGATTTGGGCAGGTGGGCCAGTCTAACATCCACATCCACTTGTATCCCCAGGCTCCCATACAGTACCATGTTCCTGGCAGGCTCTCAGAGTAAGTGGTTTAAAGGCTAACATTATAGGCACTCACATCGTACCAGATGTCCTCTTCCAGGGGTTACTGATATTAGTAACTTCTTTCCCGTATGGACCTTTCACTCATTCCACAAATGTTTCCCGGAGGCCAAATCAGACCTTGATGTGTATATATAGCTTAGTAAGCAAATTAAGACAAATGTTGGAAAACACTCTGGGGCAGTTTTAATTTTTTTAATTAAAAATTGGACTGCAGGTGTAGAACAATGGTGGAGCATCGATCAGCATGCCTGAGGCCCTGGGTTCAACCCTCAGAACATGCACACATCACATACACATGCACAATTTAAAATTCAATTCCTTGACAGGTGCAGTGGTACAAATCCCAGTGACTAGGGAGTCTGGCCTCAGCAATTTAGTGAGACTCCATCAAAAAATAAAAATGAAAAAGGGTTGGGGATGTAGCTTAGTGATAAAGTGCTCCTTTGTTAAATTCCCAGTACCAAAAATAAATATTTTAATTCCTTAAGCAGGGCTCAATAGCCAGATGTGGCTAGAGAAAACAATTGCAAATGTACAATATTTCCATTATCTGGTTGTATGGCACAGCCCTGCAAGGGGCTTACAGAGTGGTCAGTCTTTGGGCTCTGGATTCCCACAAGGTCTGGGTTCAAATCCTGTTATGGTTATTTCACAGCTGTAAAATTTGGCCAAGTAATTGACAATTCTTTGAGCCTCAGCTATAGAAGTAAGGAATTATACCATTGCTCCTCCTTAAGAGTTTTGGCAAGCATTCAAAGAGATAGCAGATATGAGGGACTTTGCTTGAAGGCATATTAAATTCTCAAAAGTCAGGAGCTTCAGTGTCTTAATAGCCCCAAATCCTGGATTCTGATTTCTGAGGGCTCCATCCAGAGTCAGCCTCTTCCTTGGGAAGTTGTTAGTCCTTCTCCAGGCCCTGCCTGAAGTATGCCTGGAAGTGCAGCTGTTTCTTCTTTTGTCTTTCTGTCTTCTCAGTCTTTGGGCACAGAGTGCACCATCAACCTTTGAGGATGGAAGAAATGAATGAATGGGGATAATAGGCAGGATTTGACTGCTGTTGCAAGAACACTCCCGGAGAGTCCAGGAAAGTCATTATTATTTAATTTCCAATGCAATTGGCCTGGTGTTTTCCTACAACAAAAGTTCATCTTTTAAATAAGCACCTTCAGCTTCTGTGCCCTCCCTCACCTACTCTCAGCTCCTCAGGGACAATCAGCCAAGCTGGAGCTCAAGGGTCTTGGCCCTTCCCCCTTTGGCCCAAAATAACCTCCTCCCCCACTTTCAGCAAATGCTTGGAATTCTTTCAACAGGAGGACAAAGCCTTTCATCTGCCAATTACTGATAAAGAGAAAATGCAAATATGCTGGGGAAGGTGATCCATCAAGGGCCCAACATTTATGGAGTGACCACTTAGGGCCCAGCAGCAGGATAGGCATTCTGGGGGAGTCAAAGGGGAACAAGCCCCTGGCTGGCCCATTCTTCTCTGGGGTTTGCGGTTTCCTCGAGGTTTGTAAAGGGAGGGGATTAAATTAGGTGACTAGTCAACCCCTTCCTGCTCTGACAGGCCAGGAACTCCCCTTAGAGGTGATATATAGGCTTAACTGTTTTCACACTAAGGTGGCTGCCCTCGATCATTTTCCTAGTGCCAGCTTTTGGGGGGACACCAGGAAGCCACATGAGGAGAGAGGAATCCCAGGGAAAAAAGGTGAAGGATGAAGATCCTGCGTCCTACTTGCCAATTTTGTTTTATTTCACTTAATTCACTTCTCACCACCCTCCAGCCCAGAAGCCCTCCTTTGAGTGTTTTGGTTTTTGTTTTTTCATTATGTGGGAGCAGTGACCCTGGTTAATATCGGAAAAGGCATGTGATAGACAAGCCAGGTTCCAATTGGAACCCCAATAGCCCACAGGAAAACTGTATGATCTTGGGTAAAAGTGGCTTTGCCTTCCTGAGTCCCAGGTTTCATCATTTGCAAAATAGGGAATTTCGAGATGGTTTCCCTGAAAAGGTTCTCTCTTTCTCAAGACAGAAGCAAATAAAATAGTCCCACTTCTTGATAGAGGGCTAAAGAGCCGGCCACATACAAAGGGCTGTCGATTGGATGTAGCAGAACCAATATAGGCCATTTCAGTTTGGAGACAAAAGTTTGGTGTTTGCTAGCTTCATACCTACTTTAAAAGATTTTTACAGCTAGTGAACCAGAGTAAAACAAACTTTAAAGATGAGTCTTTGGGGTCACATGAAAAAAAAAAAAAAAAACTACAAGAATGAAATGACAGTGAATTAAGGTGAGTGAGGGATGCATTTCTTCCCCAGGTCTAATGGCCTGTTACATGGGAATGACTGAAGGCTGAGTAGTCATCCAGTTTCATAATTTCTCCGAGCCTCAGTTTCCCAATTTGCAAAATGACCTGCTTCAACTAGCCCACAGGATTAGGGGCAGAAATAAAATAGCACGTGGACACTAGCTGTGAGCACCTACTATCTCCCTTATTGTAGTCCCGGTGCCATGTTATCTTACCAGGAGATTTAACCCCTAAGACCAGGTCTTGCAGGACACAAGAGTTGGTCTGGAGTAAAGCGTTTCTTCGTGTTCATGATGAATTACAGGACAACTCTGGAGGTTGTCACAAGCACTGGGAAGGGGGACATGGGAGAACTCCCGGACCTAATGACATTCTATATATGCTTAGAGGGTGGCCACATCTCCGCTAAAGTCATATAGAATCAGTCCAGGTGCGCTTAAGGTTTTCGTATCCCATCCCAAGAGCCACACGCCTTTCCACAACTCTTCTCCTATCAACAACCAAACAGGGCTTACCTTTCGCTTGTTTGCGAGCTGCGTTAGGAGATGCTAGATCCGATTCTCTGAGTATTTCCTTCCAGAGCATCAATTTTCTCCACTGGGCGGGCGCAAGGACCTTTAAAAAAAAAAAAAAAAGTCCAACTTCTCTTTCAGGGATCGTAGGCTAGTGAAGAACTCCACGGAGGCGAGCAGAATGAATGAATGAAAGGCAACGTCTTCCGGTCACCTGCGGTCTGAAAAGGCTCCGGTCTGGCTGTATTTCCTGTACCTGTGTGTGTGTGTTCTTATCTTTCAGTCCGAGAGTTTAAAAGTATTGAGTCCATGCAGATATGGAGCTGTACTAATTTTTTTTCTGAGCCCATCAAATGCGTCCTCCATTTGGCGGGTTCGAAAATGGGGGTCTGAACAGGGTTGCCCCTCCCCCCAAAAAAAGACATGCAGTTACATAGCAAAAAAAAAATATACATATATATATACACACACACACATATATTTGGTATATATATATATATATATATATATATATATATATATATATATATATATAAAAACACCAAATGCTTTGAATTTGGGTCGCCAACGCAAGTTGTGGGGTAGGGTGTATGAAGGAAAAGGAAGAAGGGCAGCCGTGGGCAGTGGTGGGGGCAGGGACTGAGGTGGGGGTCGTTTTGGGGGTGCCAGGGCCCAGGGGCTTTCACGCCAGCATGCTCGGCTTGCATTTCCGCGCCTCCCGCTGAGGCCAGCCGTGCAAATCTGCACCTCCCTCCCCACCCCCTCCTCCTTCCCTCCCTCCCTGCCCCGCCATCTCCGGGATGCGCCAGTCGCCTGCAACTCAGCCCTCCAAAAGTCAGCTCTGCACACAACTCCCGGGCGGCGGCGGCGCCTGCGTGCAGAGGCGCACTCGTGACCCAACAACAAAACAGCGATGCCAGGGCGCTAACGGCGCCCGGTGCCTCGCGGGCTCCCTCCCAGTCCCACACCTCCTCGGGCCGCTGCCCCCGCCCCCCCATCCCGGGCCGAGTGCCCCCCCAACTAGCCCGGCCGCGGGCTCAGAGCGCGATCGGCAACAATGTTTACGTTCCGGGGATTATGACGTCGACGCCTCCCCCCCCCCCCACAACTGCTGAAAATGGTTTCCTAGGACTTTGCAAACGGATCTGCCTAAGTGTTGGTGCAAAACTTTGTAGATCTCGGCTCTGGCTTGCTTTATTTATTTATTTTTTGGTTTGTTTTCTTTGGTCTTCTCTCCTTCCCCCCTCCGCCAAAATGCAGGGGGCAGGAGTGTTGACAATTAATTGGTGAACTCTCCTAAAAAAATGGAGGCAGAGAAAGACTCTGGAAGAAGATTGGTGTGTAGCTTTTTTTTTTTTTTTCCAAATCTGTATCTGGTATATGATAGCTCTATTTTTTTTTCGGTTGTTTCTTGCTGCCTTTTCTTTCCTTTTCTGTATTTTACAAGAGGACCGGAAAAAAATAATAAATTGCATGCAAAAGGAAGCAAGCAGCTTACTCCTCCAGTCCCTTGTGAGGCTCAGAGTCTCAGACACTTAAGTGGGGAGATGGTAGCTTGGAAAGGCGTAGGGGGTGGTAAGCGGGCTGGGGGTTCGCCCGGAATCTGGGGGGCTGCCGCGCCGGGCGCTGGGCGGTGGAGGGAGGAGGCAGGGGGATGCGGGGAGTGGTGGGGGAGTCTCCTTAGGAAGTGAGTGTGCGCGCGCGCTCGTGGGGAGATGAGGCAGCTGCTGGTGCGTTTTGGGGTCTCCGATGGGAGCTTTGTGGCGGGTCGTCTGCCTCTCCCCCTCCCAAGCCCCTCACCTCCTCCCCTCACCTCCTCTTCTTGTACTGGCGGGCGATCGGCGGGGGCGGCTGGGGTCTCAGCCCTTCCATTTCAGCTTTTCAGCTTCCCCGGTAGCTCGGGAGCGGCTCTAGCCTTAGAAACGCCGCCGACCCCGGTTCCGGCTTCCCGGCTCTGCCTCCACGGAGGCCGGGGCGGCTGTTACCGCCGAGCCCGGAGCTGCAGCGGCTCCTCCCGGGGCCTACATCTGCCCCGCCAGCCCGTGTCCGGAGCCCCCTTCGCGGGTTACATAACCAGGCTCCCGGCTGAGTGGGCAAAGCTCAACACATCACAGGGATGGGGGACGTGGGAGAGCCCCTAGATACCCTTTCCGTGGCTTCCAAAGATGCAGGAGGAGAGTGCTTCGTCGTGTAGGGCGCAGTAGGACCCTGGGGGTGTGGGCCCCTCTCCTTTTCCTGCTTTTCATCATCTTTGGCATTTGCGCAAAGTTGCTCAGATTGCAATGGTGGGGTACAGGGGGCGTGCACTCCTGCACCTGTTCGTGTTGGCCCGGGGTAAGAGGCGACCCCCCAGTTCCCACAATAATATCGCGGGCTCTCTGGTTGGATCCTCGTAGCGCCCGATTGATCGCCAGAGATACGACGAGAACGAAGACTTGTCGGACGTGGAGGAGATTGTCAGCGTCCGCGGATTCAGCCTGGAAGAGAAGCTGCGCAGCCAGCTGTACCAGGGGGACTTCGTGCACGCCATGGAGGGCAAAGGTGAGGCGCCCCCTCCCCGGGCCGTCCTCCGCACCGCGGGCCGCGCGCACGTGGGGAGGGAGCTGCCGGTGGCTGGGTTCGTATTTCGCGCCCGCGTCCCCCATTCCAGGGGATCCGGTGACGAAACGAGGCCGAGCACTGGGGGGGTGGGGTGGGGTGGCGAGGGAGGAGGGCAGGCGGGAAGGGGGCCGGGCGCAGGCCTAGGCCTGGCTTGCGCCCACCACCAGCACCACGGTGGGCAGAACCAGAGGGCTGGTGGACTGAGGGACCTGGGAAGAGACAGTCGGACCGAAGGAGGGCGTGAGCGCAGCGTCCTCCACCTCCTCTGCCGGTTGTGCTCTTGCGCTGCCCAAGGTGCAGTCGCCTGACTGGAGGAGCCCCATTCTGGGGTCCTCCTGAGACATTGGGGTGAGGCCCCCCAGACTCGAAGCCTCCTAAACCGCTGTCATCTCGGGCTCTGTTAGTTAGGAGCTGGTGATGGAACATCTTGAGTTATTAGGGTTACACCTCCTCAGGCTTGGGGTCTCTGGAGTGCATCTCGCATCTCGTTATAGGCCTGGGGAGGTGCACTCAGGGTTGATGGTCTGAATTGCCACCTAAGCTTGAGGCCTGCAGCGTTGACAGTTTGAAGCTGGAGTGGGGGATATGGGTGACTTCCCCTCAGGCTTAAGGCTGAGAGATTCCTGTTCCCTGGTAAAGTTTTGGGGCACTTCTAGGGGAAATAGGGTCTCTTCCCATGCCTGAGGCTTGTCTGTCTCCTGTGAACCCTCCCCCGTTGGAGCAGAAGTTGGAGAAGCTCAGGGTGCCAGAGTACAGCCTAGCCTGAGATCTAGCAAGGCCTGCCTTTCTCCCTGACCTTCCTACTAAGAGTGTCTCAGGGTGTCCTCCAGACAGATTTTGGGTGTTGCTTCTGCTTGGGTCTGAGGCTTTTGGAGCCATGACCCACCCAGCCCTGCAGCCTGGATTTCCACAGGGCCTGTGGGGTGAGGGTTTTGGAGATGCCCTTTCTCACCCCAGGCCTTCCTGGGGTATGGTGTTCATTTTTTTTTCTTCTCCTCTCAGCTGTTTGGGTGTCCTTTCAATTACTCAGTTTCCATTTTGTATTTCCCCACCTTCTTGGAAACCCTTCCCTCTCCAGGAGCTGACAGCCGGGAGGTGCTTCCCTGTGGGTTCTGGATGAGTGAGTGGCTAGGCCTTGAGTTGGCCTGGAGGAGAGATCTTTCTGGCTTTGCATTTTTGAAGTTTCTCTTTTGTGCTTGTTGCCCCCCTGGGCTCTGGTGGTGTTGGGGAGAAATGTGGGGAGGGAGGATATTTTTTCTAGCCTGTTTGGTCCTAGAGCAGGGTGCCAGTCCTAACTGCATGTGAATTTTCTCCACATAAATGGGATTTTAATTTCTCTCCTTTCTTCCCCCCATTTTATGGAGTCATTTGGCAGAGTCTATGAGAAAACAGTATGTAAACTTTTCCTAGTCATTTGTCAGGAATCCTCAGCCAAGGATTTCAGCACTTTTTCTCAGGCTCATTTGAGGAAGTTGAAGCTGGGGTGGGGTAGTGCGGGGCTTTGGGTGTGTTGGYAGGGAAGGTTACCAGCCAGGGGCTCTAAATGGCATCCTTAAATTTGCTGTCCTGGCTCCTTTCAAAGGACGGGGTTTCACTAGTTAATTCAGATCTAGTCCCAAAACTTGAGGGAGGAGCTGAGAAACAGAAGGAGCCCTTCGCCTGGATTCAAAAATAGAAGCTTCTTAAACTTCCCTTCCTTTAAATCCTTAGGAATCCCCATTCACTGTGAGCCCCTGGGGATCTGAGCCACTGAGGTCAGGGCTTTCCCGGCGATGGTTTTGTTCTCTTTTCTGAGCCAGTAGCTTTGGCCTCCTCCCCCAAGGCCCTAGTGAACTGTTCGCCAGGGGCCCGCAGCCTTCAGTGGCCCYGGGACTCTTCTCTCACTTCAGACCAGTCAGAGAGGCCTTGTAGCCTTGTGGGATACTTTAGTCACCTGAGGACTTGGGGGACGTGATTTGGACTTTGGGAGGGTTTGATATCAGCTCCCCTCACCTTCATATTTAGGGCTGTGTTTGGGTCAGATTCATTGATTTTTGGGGAGAATTGAGGAAGGAAAGAAATTAATCGAAGGCTCCCTTCATGCTCCAGGGCTTTGGATAAAGATTTGGGGGTCTCTACCAGACAAATCCYAGTTAGGAAATTACCCAGTGGATTTTTCTTGGGCCTTGCTGTGCCTGCTCTGTGCAGCCTACCTGGAGAGCATCCTTCTTGGTGATCCAGTGGAAGCAAGCGGTGTGATGGCTCCGACAGAATTTCACTATGAAGACAACAAAGCTGTGCCCAGTTCCCTAGTTATTTTGGCACCAAATACACAGTTTCCAGGGAAACCGGCTTCCCCCCCCCTCCCCTTCACGATGCAGGATATTACAATAAGATTTTCACTGATGCTCAGCTACAATGAGAGCCCTCCTCCCAGCCTCCTCTCTGGGGCTTCAGATCCTCCCAGGTGGCATTCTTCAGTTCTGCAGTCCCTTTACTCTCTGAGCTCAGCCAGGGATGCGTTTTCCTGTCTGTCCCCCTTTCTCAGCACTAGCTGGGTCTCTTTCAGTGTGGGACTCTTTATAAGTCTCCTCCCCAACCCTGGCTAGCCTTGGGCTGTTCATTGACAAGTTCGGACCCGTGGGGCATGCAGAGAATGACTGAGTAGGCAAAGKAGCGATGGCTGGCATGGCTTCTCTCGGATTAGGCCCTGCCATTTCCCTGTCATTTTCCAGGGAGCTTCTGCCACTGAGGTCAGGCCTCCCTCTAGCACCCCCTCGTTCCCTTCCTTTGCCATTTTTTCTTCCCCTCACCAATGGCTCGTGGTTCATTTGCTCCTGAATAACTTAACCAACTTGTTTTAATTCAAATATCCAAACAGATTTCAACTATGAGTACGTACAGAGAGAAGCTCTCAGGGTTCCCCTGATATTTCGAGAAAAGGACGGACTAGGAATTAAGTAAGTTGCTGACACTAATTGCCTCTCCCCTGTCTTCCTCCCTAACTCAATTTCTAGCTTGGGTGAATTTCTTCTACCCTCTTCCCGCCGCTCATTTCATGATCTGGGAATAGCGGCTCCTTGTTCAAGCCCTGACCAAGGGGAAAGCTCTCTAAAGATTGGTCTTTTTTTAGGAATTTGGGCAGAGAGGACTTAGGGTACTTGAACAGTGAGGACTTCTGCCCTGATCCATCTGGCTTCACATTGCAACCTCTTACCAAGAATCGTACCTGTCCTGCTCCTCAACTCTGAACCAAGAAACTGGCAGACCCTGAGCTGKGTTAGCTAGTGTATGGGAAATGGCTCCCTTCCATGGAGGGTATATTTCCCTGGGCACCAGCGTCTCCCCTTTCTTTGCCTGCCACTGTGTCTGGTTTATATTCTGGCTGAGATCTACCAGAGCTCCAGGTGGGGGAGAGACCAGAGCCAGGCTGGAAGAACAGGTTTCTGCCCCTTGGGCAGGGACAGAGGAGGAGGCTCAGGGTGTCATCCTAGGCCATCTCCTTTCCAGCCTCTGAAGCTGGACTTGCTCACCAGTCATGCTCCTAGGAGTGGAAAGTAAACCTTCAGCATCTCTGTTAGTTAACAGTTCCCATAATCATTGTAGCAGGGTTATCAAATTCCTGGAAATGGTCTAATGTCTGTCTTCTTTTCCCTCTGAACTTAAAGAGGTTCTTTCCACTTTCCATACAACTGTGGAGAGTATTTTTTTAGAGGGAGAAAGAGACACAGAGAGGGCTGTCCCTAGAAAGAAAGCCGRTGTTTGGCCCTTGACACCACACTCTCGAGTCTTTCCCRCAGAAGTGAGGGTGGGGTGGCAGGTAGATGGCCCATTCTCTGCTGAGGTTCAGAGTTTTTTTGTTGTTGTTATGTTTTTGCTTTTTGATACTAGGGATTGAATCTAGGGGTGCTTAACCACTGAGCAACATTATTATCCCTTTTTTATTTTGAGGCAGAGTCTCACTAAGTAGTTTAAGGTCTCGCTAATTTGTTGAGGCTTGCTTTGAACTGTGATCTTCCTGCCTCAGCCTCCTAAGTCACTGGAATTATAGGCAGGCATAGTACCGGCTGAGATTTAGGTGTGATGTACCTCTAGGGGTGGGGAAGGGGCACCATGGTTCTGGTGACCCTCCCTTGAGGTACTACCTGATCTACTGCCCTCTATCCAGGTTATCTCATTTTGGATTCCAAACAGAGAGCAAGGACCCCACTTGGAAAAATGGCTTCACCCTGGGCAGGGTAGAGTCTGGCTCTGTTGTTTCTGGCTCCTCACCAATGTCTGTGCTTCTTTTTCTAGGATGCCTGATCCTGATTTCACAGTCCGAGACGTCAAACTCCTAGTGGGTAAGTTGCCGGCTGTGTGTGTGACTCAGAGATGCTGAGGAACAGGAACAGGAGAAGGGAAAAGGGAGAGGCTTTCACTATCACCTGCCCATTTAAACTTTTAACTGCCTCTAAAAAGAAAGTCCCCTTGGGAAGG